TCTGGAGCTAGGACAAACTGTCTCTTTTGACTGGTGATATCTTGCAGAATCCTACTTATATAATCGGCTAAGTCTGTCTGTTGGTGTGTTTGTGTGTGTGTGTGTGTCAGTATGTGTGTGTGTTTGTCTGACCGGAAATTCATAATTCCTGTCCCACTGAACCTAGAACATTCAAATTTCGAAGAGATATAGGCGGCACGATGGGAACAGCGATGGTACGTGGTAGGAAGTGACAACTATCGATATAAACTGATAAGGAGCCTTAAAATGCAATAGCCTGAGTGTCCGTAACTCCCTTCGTATTAGGGATGAAGCCTTGGCACTTGGGCAGGTGGTTTAGAATGTGAAGGGACCATTAAAAATTGGTGACAGAGATTGATAACAAGTGATAGGGACTGATAAGAAGGCACAGAAGGCGGAAGCCGCTAGATCTGTCAAGGGTACTTTATATTTTGATATCATTTACGACAAAGCTCATCCGATCGCCAATAATTTGGGATTCTCAATTAATGATGTACCGTGGAAGAAAGAAGGCCCAGTGATAACGACATATAATAGTGTTATTATCACTCGAGAACATTCGTGAGCACTACTCAATTCTTTGGTTGCCTATCAGTTAAACCTTCAATGGTTCATAATTTTCAAGATGAAGAGCAACCGATTGATACATTCAATCGTAGGCGTAAGCGTGGGCATGTGGTGCACGCTTTGGCGTGCGTAGCCCAACTGGTTACATATATCGACCACTTGAGAATTCCTCAACCACTTATTTAGCAAGAACCCGGTTTGCTCACCCCATTCATCTGAAAGAAATCACTCGAGGTGCTCGTTCTGTGTGAGCTAGGCTTCTTTCTGGTTATAACTTTTTGAGCTATGTCAAGAGCGATTTGTGGCTCGAAAGTTGTCAGACTGGAAGGCCTGACCTTTCAGTCTGACAACTTTCGGGGTCAACATCTATGATGAAAACTTTATTTTCTTTTCCATTTTCTAAACGTATTTACTTCAAAAGGTTGGCGAGTTATGAAAAAAACTTCGGCGAGCCCTTACATATCTATCCGGGCGCCGTGCTCTTATCCATTTCACTAACAAAACCCCGTTTCCACTCTCCTTCTTAACGGCTCATATGCCATAGCTTCTCAGCGCTCACACGTACAACATGATGAGCCGGTCGGGTTCGAGTCCCGCCCAAGGTCGAAGTTCTGTCCATAACTCGCTAGCTTTGGGATACTCTATCCTTTGTTTTTTTGTACCCACTCAGAATAATTGTTCTGATAGCTGAGCGACTGCCTCCCATATGTTGATGTTCTTCTCATTTGCTGTCAAGTGCCTAAATACCATCTTTCTGGGGGAGCCAATTAAAGGCCTCGATTTATTTCAATATGCACCGAAACAATTTGGAGGTGTCCTGGTTTTGTTGGAGAGCCAACGGCTGGAATTTTGACTTGAGCACCCAATAATAATTGGCCTTTTCGAGTTGTAATTCAACTTCAAGTTAAATGCCAAAAGAAGTGAGTTTAAGTTCAGCTCTGCTTGTATAGAGCACGACGCCCGGAAAGCACAAGTGCGCAAGTGCGGGTTCGAGTCCCGTCCGAGACTGAAGTTTTGTCCATGAATCGTCAACCTTGTTAGACTCAGATCTCTTTCTTTTCCACATGAATTGGAGCATAGCTTTTCCTGTGTGCGTTATAGGGTGTACCTTGACGTGTGGGATACCCTTTTTGATCACTTCCAAGTATACTCCGACCCTAGTCAACCTCTCTGTACTCACTCTGCACTCCGTTGTGAACAGTGCAACCTCTATAGGGCCATTAAAACACGTTCTTTTCCAGGAGTTGACCGACTTTGAGCCCTCATTGCTTCATCTAAAGACCCTTTTCGACCAGTCAATACCCCAATTGGCATGGTTGAGGAGTCACAGGTTCGAGAAACCTCTGTCCAACTCTGAGTTTGTAAATAGTCAAGAGCGCAATTACATAAACTGCTTAGTGTAAGGCAATATTTCGATGTGTTTATAGAAGTAGTCTAAATGAGCTCGTCATTTTCAAGTGAGCTACATGAACTGTATGATTACAGTATTCTGAACCTACCAGCTTGGTGCTCAGCTTAAAGCGAATACCCGTAATAAAAGTAAAGTGAAAGAACTGAAACTCCGAAGGGATGGAGCGTAAAATTTCGGGCGTTGATCAATCTCGTCCGAGGGATGCGCCCCGCATCCGAATTGCATTTAGAACCGTAGTGGCGTTTTGAATCATATGTGGTCTATACAATGACTTACGGTGCCCAGCTTGTGTACAAGTCCGTGGTCAGTGTTTCTGGTAAGGATCGTCTCCACTGGTTCTCATACCTCGAATGGATATACGTGCTGAGGTACGATATTTTGCTCTCTTTTACTCGGCTCCGTTTTTTGAAATCGTGCGAGGTAGAGGGCTCCCATTATGAAACCAGGCTTGCATGGATTTTGGCTAGGGCCGTCGCCCCGACGCCAACATGAGAGTGAACTGATGTGTAGGTAAGATGTTCCCACCGTAAACTGAAAACTTTATGCTTAGCACACCGCAGTACCAACGAGCATCAGCTTAGAAAATATTATCGGAAAGCGGAGGGCCATCGCAATCGGACTGCACTCATCTCGATCTACGAGAAGAGCGGCGGAAACGCGATGACCGACCGGAACGTGAGGAACTACGCGATCGACTCGATCGGCCCGACTTGCTTAAACGACTCGAACGACCCGACCTGCTTGATCTCGACGAACGTCTGGACCTCTGCGATCGCGAAGAACGACTAGACCTCCGCGATCGCCCTGAGCGTTCAGACTTCTGCGATCGAGCGGCTAGACCTCGGGAATGGCTGAAATACTGGCTGCTTACACTGGCATAGTAATAGCCTGCACAAATGTGATCCGTGTATTTTTTTCCATTTCTCTCCACGACGTCACCATACCAACACAGAAGATAATGATGGCAGAGTCCGGCTCGATATTAATTGAACCGATTGGAACTCAAGGCATCACTCTGTGACTTGTGCTCAAACCTCATGACGTGGACGCACGGGTCACCCAAGTCTCTGACCCGTAACAGAGCGCAGGAAGAAGTGTGGAAATGAACCGATTAGCGCGAAGTTCCGAGTTCTGGGGAATTTCAACGCTCCAGGCCTACGGGGATAGGAGTTATGAATTCCCGGTCAATTACACACACACACACATACACACATACACATACACACACAAACAAATACACAGACAAACCCACAGACACACTTAGCGAATTATATAAACTAGGATAAGTTGGTGGTTAGATTACTGGAGTAGAATGAATACTACGGAGAGAAATAATGTGGAGTAAAGTGGAGACCTTGAGACTATGATTTTGTATATGTGGCATCACGTTATGTATGCCCCTACAAAAATTGGAGGCACTAATGTAGTTGGAGGACCTCCAAAATTATGCGCTAGAGCTCAGATCAGGAGGAACTGAGAAGCGGAGATCCCAGAACATGTTCTGCCGGTTGTCCCAGTGAAATCAGAGGATCTACCCGGCAGGCCTTCCATCCTTGAGGGGCTCATTGATTGGTTCCAGACTCGCTTGAGAAGATAGCAGCTCTGACTTGTAAATCGGCCACTGCAAGTCATTGTTTAGGCCACGTATATATGCATTCAGAAACCGCTTAGACACAAAATAAAAGTCGAGTATGGTCACGCAGTCCAGGGACCAGATTGCTTTGCGCCATTGAGTCACTATGTACTTGCATTTCTTTGTACTATACTAATACTTGTTGGCGATGGTTCTAGGCGTACCTAAGTACGATTTTCTGTCTCTTGATAATTTCGTTCCTCAAATTCACAACAGATCCAGAGGATGCTTACAGCGAAGTATGATCCCTAGGGGAAGGGAAATGAGCTATTTGAAGGGAATCGATGGTTTCCTAGGTTCCACCAGCCCACGAAATTCATTTGGCCGGAGTTCGAGGACTGATGGCAGTTCCTGACGAAATGACAATTTTGTCTGCGCACTCGTAAATCGCCTTCTTCTGGAAGCTAGTACCTTCCTACCAAAGTTATGAGGAGAGTTCAACTTTCTCTAGCTAGACGATCACGCTTTTGTTTGTTAACAATACAGTCGGTGAAGCCCGACTGGTTTCCCTGAACGCGTAAAATCTATAAATTCGCTATGTAGAGGTCACTGACGACATTATAAAAGTGATAGGCCCTATTCCTAAAGGGTTTATACTAACTCAAGAGTTTGCCCTTTCTCACGCTTTATTATAAGCCACAATACAACCACACAATCACAAATAGTATGTGGAGAAAGGTAATACTTGTGGCTAACGACAGATCCATAAACGGTGCTATTTGAGATGCAATTCCTGCAAATGGATTACTGTATATATTTGTAAGTTATCGTGTAGTGAATGTCCACATACACCAGTATCCAAACAGATTCGGGAACATTCTCTTATAAACGCTCTTCTTAGTCGACGGCTGATTCCTCCAAGACTCTTTTACTCTTAAAAGCTTTGAATCAAATGGAAATACTGCACAGCCAATGTCAACAGGTCGAAATTCTTACTTNTCCGACCCTTGTTCTTCGGTAAGAACACAGTCTTCGACCTCGTTCTTTGCCATCCTCAACTGAAATTGGTGAGAGAATGGATCTTTTCAAAGAATATAGCAGAAAGAAAATGGAAACAGTGACTAACATCGTAGAAGAATCCACCTTTCTTTTCATAACTTAGTTCCTTACTATGCGTGCCTTTATCTGATTGGCCTTCAACATCGCGATACAGATTGATTGCGTCCACTGCAAAAGAAAGATCTGGAAACTACTACGGTACCGTTGGGGCGACTACACACCCCAGAAGTCATGGCATTTCTGTAATGGTGTGGGAGCGCACAAGTATCTCTACTGGGTTGCCTCCGGTAGAGAACGGTACTCCTGTAGGAATTGTACTTACCGTAATCAGGCAGGCTACTTGCACAGTTGACGATGCTCCAGAAGATGACAATGCTTGTCAAATGCGGCATCATTTGCTTTGTACCGTGACTGAACCAAAGGCTGAGAAGGTTCCCGTTGAAGCACAACTAAATTGAACCTCACCGCTGGCTTTAGGCTTATATAGTCGAGGGGTTTGTATGCTTTAGGTAAACCAATGATACTGAGCCTGTGTAACATATGATTCTCTCCAGCAAGGGCTCGATGCTTAGCCATAGCACACTGAGTCTGACAGTATCTTTCTTTCCCACATAGGCTATATACCGGTTACCCACAAGCAGTTTCCTTACTTCCATCCTCTTCTTCAGTGGCCCATTTTCTCTCGATACCATACAAGAATCCTACTACTAATTCGCCAAGTGTGTCTGTTGGTCTGTCGGTGTGTGTATGTATGTATGTGGGTTTGCGTTGGTGCGTATGTGTGTATGTGCGTGTGTGCGTATGTTTATATGTGTGTATAAGTGTATGTATGTGTGTTTGTATGTGTATGTGTGTATATGTGTGTATGTGTATGTGTGTGTGTGTGTGTGTGTGTGTGTGTGTGTGTG